AGGGGTCCGGAAAAATTTGGGTTCTAGATGCTCTGTGGTGCAATCTGAGGCATTTTCTGGCACATCTTCCTGACATTTTCTCCTGTTTACAGCATGAGATCAAGGTGACATTTGTAGGCCTAAATTGAACAAATTGGCATCTCTGTAGACAGGTTCAGAACACACACCAAGTATAAGGAAACTGTGCCACTTTGAAACCTAATTAATGTGACTAAAGACTAGTAGGAGCTCTGCATATGACCCAAGACATCATACTACAGGTATAGGACACTCTGTTTTCCTCCAAGCGTTCTTCATGATTTGTTTCTTGATATGCTGAGCAGTTTTATGAACGGTTGTCTTTCTTCCAGATGGGTTTCCATGGACTGGACGTTTGACAATGTCCACTTTCATTCTCTTGGAAGTTGCTTCCTTCTCTTTCCTGGTTGCCTCCAACCTCCGCTTGTACCTGCCATTAGCAGTCTGCATATGGTAGATGAGGGATCTGTCCACAGGACTCTTAATGACATCCTTTCTATGGTACAACTGTAAGCTTGTGGTATGCTTTGAGCTTAGTTCGTACTTTATAGACGGCAATGCAGATAATGTCTCCACTCCAAGTCTATTGGCCTTGGAACTGATGAGGTCATTCATAGTGGAGAAGGATCTCTCAACTTCAATACCTGTGAAGATGCTGAGGCATGCCTTGATCACTTTGCTTACTGTTGGATACTTCTGTGTTTTGAACACTTTTGCTCACCAGTGATCTAGATGTACACTCTGTTCTCCAACTTTGGTAGGAGGCAGACTTGTGTCTGTTTGCATGTAGAGACCTCATGTCTGTATGCATCCTTCTCAGTGTCTCTTATTACAGTTGGGAAAAATTCACCTAATTTCTTCAAGGCACGAAATGTCTGTGAATGGCCCTGCACAGCATGATCAATGGCAGATAGGCACCTTAACAGCAAATTGGGCAGTAGGAATTTTGTTTGCATGTAGACTGCAGAACTGATGTAGGCTTCCACAACAAATGTTCTGAATTCACGAACAGTTTTTCTGTCCATCTCTTTCAGAATGTTTTCTGCCTCATGACCAATGAAGAAAGCCTCAACTGACTGGTGCAACTCCTCCTTGTTGACATCCATGGTCTTTCGCTGTTTGCTGTCTCTTAACTCTAGTGTTGTAGCTGAGTACTTTTTTCCAAGTACCAAGTACTACCGAGTACTTTGACTGCCGAGATCAAAGACAGGGCAGATACTTTGCCAGCCGAGTACAAGTACTGGTTTTCAAGTACAAGTACTTGCACTTCCGAGTACAAGTACTTCTAATTCCGAGTACGAGTACAAGTACTTCTAATTCAAAAGTAGTTTTATCTTAATTAAGAGACTCTAAGACCTGCCATTGAGTAAAAGAAACACCGAATGCAGATGACATGGCTACAAGAACAAGTGATCTGGCTAGCAATGTCACGGTCACTACACGTGCATTGCAGCAGTTGACACAATGTGCACAGCGCGGCGAAGTGTATTTTCCAGACTCCCTTATTCACATGCCTGTGATTTCTGTATGCTGGGTTCGTTGTTAGAACTTTCGGGTCCAGGAACCATACTACCAATGCCCAAGTAAATCGCGGGACCGTTCTGGAGTACCACAATCTAATTTGCGTACGTGATAGGTTAAGTACGCGCACAGACGGTGAATGGGTTGTACACGTTAATGGTATAATGGTCGGCCTTCTCTTTGTCAGAACCGTATCGAATATCGGGTCATTGGAGTCGATATTTTTGTACCTTATTTTACAGCTGTGGTAAGTTAACTGAAAGGATTTTTTTTATTGAGTACTGTTAGTCGAGTAAGAGTACTTTGATGCTCGAGTACAATTTTTGGATGTCGAGTTCCACGTATTTTGTAGCCCAAGTACAAGAACTGTAGTTCGAGTACGAGTACTTGGACATCCGAGTTCAAGTACGAGTACGAGTACTACAACACTGCTTAACTCGTCATGTTTCGTGAACAGGGAGAGGAAGTGCTGGAATAAGTCAACCATTTCATCATGGAGGTGATGGCACATTGGTTGATCAAGATGAATGACTTGAACAATGGCAAGACTGACAGGTACAAATTCATGTACAGCATTGTTCTTTTAGGTCTGTACAGAACCTTGTCAACGATTCTTGCTTTCCGGTCTTTCCCCTATTTGGTTAATGACTTCTTCTTCAGAATATTCAGGATCTGGTATATCCTTCATCTTGCCTCAACTGATACATGGCTGAGAATATCGTTTATCACAGGAAGATAATCCTTGTACACATCAGCTGAAACCCATGGATAATGGAATATCTGAATGGCTTTCATCATACCATGAATCTTCTGTACCACATTGTAAATTGAAAGCCATCTATGAGCCACTCGCTGAGGAGGCACATGAAATTCAACACCCATCAATGAGCAGACTTCTTCCAAGTACCCACACAAGTAAGGAGAAAATTTGCAGTCAGTATGTAGATCATGAGCTAACTGTTTAATTGCATTCCCAAAATGCTTGCAGAATTTCTGTATACTGTTGTGCACATGATGGCAAATATCGCTATCAATGTCTAACAACTGGGGGGCTGATTCACACAGTTTGGCCTCAAATCCATTCACCTTCCCCTTAATGTAATTTGTTGAATCAGAAAGGTTGGAGACCAACTGTGACAATGGGATGTCATCCTGTTCGAATAACGAAAGTACACAATTCAATACAGTTGCTGTATTGACAACTTGGAGAGACCGACTTGCCCAGTGTTTAACAACTGATTGTTGCAACTCTTCTGAAAAATAACTCACCAGAACACTTAACACTTTCTTATTGTTGTTGGAAAAACACTCGTCTACGTTTGTGGTTCACAACACCATAGCCTTCCCTCACCTTGTAGGAGGCAGTTATGCGGGATATACCCAGCATATCAAGGGCCTTGGGTCACATGACATCTCCTTACACAGATCGACCGTAGCAAGGGCCAATGAAAATGGTACATTGCTTTCTACCATGAAAGATGTTAGCAGAGCATCCATATATGCTTTTCGATCAATGACACTCACACTGGGTGTTGGCATGGGCCTATTTGCAGCTTGCATATCCACAGGACCAGCAACATTCGGAGGTGCACCGTACGGCAAGGGCCTGTCATTGGGCCTACGACAGGCAGCTGGTGGGTCATCTACACAGTCAACTACGGCCCGGCTGGTTGCAAAAACGGCTGGAATGGTAGGTGTACTTTTCCTTACCTCGCATATTTTGCTATGTTTCTTTGACTTGGCGTGGTTTTTCAAATCCTTACTGGAAGAACTGTACTTGAGTCTGTCACAGCACCATGAACAAATTGCATATCCCGGCTGGTCTATTTTCCGGATGTAATCCGACAAAAAATCTCCGTTGCAATCCTTCTCCTCCAATCATTTCCAACTAAAGACATTTCTGATACTTTTTTCGATGTCCTTTATATTGTGTGACCGATCTACCACTTTGTACATGTTGCTGATTATTGGATGAAAAGCATATTATTTCGCTTGACATGACACACGGCTCAAAACAGAGCATGTCCGACGAGTAGCAACGTGCATGCGCATGAGAGATCCAGCTTCACGTCTTCATTCAATGCATCATTCTACCGAAAATGGAAGAGGGCCTTTTTTATATGGCCGCGTTAAGTCGTGTCCATGTGTGATGTCTGTAGATGGATCTGTTCTATAGACTACTCACGTCAGCTCGTTCTGCTCGCCATTTTTACGACATGGCACAAGATTTAGACTAGCTATAACGTGTCTTTTCACCAGGGACGGAAAATCAATGAATATCCGGGAAACATATTTCTGCCGTGACAATATCCGGATTTCCGGATAAATCTGGGTAAGTTTCATCACTGGATTTCCTTCTCTATGGACAACTGATAAAATGTTGCCAATTCCAAGCAGCCTTGTCTTTTGTTGTCGAGTATAGTCTTTTATTCCAAGGCTAAACTCCTTTGTCTGATTTCAGGCACCCCTGTTTTGTGTATAAAGCCAAAGTCTGTAATACCAGGCCTCAGGCACCCCTGCACGAAGTGGTTAAAACATTAGCGCATTCACACAGGTTAAATCAATGTCATCTCTTAAATTTTTTAAGCTACCGGTACACTATTATCAGTTATTACACACCTGTATTACAACCACAAGAACAGCTTAACATGAGTTTTCATGGCAAATTAAAAATCATGGTATATGAGCTCTTATAGAAGGGAATACAGTGGAACACCGCTATATCGAACATTTGGTTGAACCGAACATCGTCCTTGGCTCCCAGTAATTTGTGCACAGAACTTACCTAACACTATTCAGTTGCCGTTTGTAATTCCAGAACGTCAACATGATAAAACAGTCGGTGTTTTTTAATTTGGAAAGAGACAAATGGCCCTTATTGACCCAAGGATTAAAAGGGAAAGCCACTAGTTGTCAATGGTACTGAATAGACACTGGTTTTGCGACTCCACATGATCGGGTACGGAAGACAACCACACGTATGCGCATGGTGGCATTGCACTGACAATAGTCTAAAGAAGACGCTGCTGATACACAAACTAACCGAGATTCGCCACAGCATGCATCAAAGATCAATCCTGAGCGGTAGTTTCTCGACTTCTAGGATAAACTTGATATCAATTTTTGACTAACATTTATATAAAAAACAAAAATAATTAAAACAAATACATTCTAGAAACCTTACTTGAATGCAATGGCGAAACATCACAAAAACAGTGGTATCACAAGGTGTCACAAGAGGGGGCACTTCTGTTAGACAAGAGAGGGCGCTATTCAACATAGCAACGAAACATTCGGCAGTTAAATTCGCTATACTGAACGACCGTTGTACCGAACATTTAGCGTGGACCCCGTCTTTTTCGTTATAGAGGCATTCCACTGTAGTGAAAAGGGGCCATAAGCACATCTTATTTTGCAATGGAGTGGACAGCAGCTTGAGGATGGCTAAAGATTGTACTTACCAGGAGACTAACTTGACAAAGTTGTCATTTAGAGCAATTCCTGCACCAGCATCAAAGATACTAGAGCGGGGATCTCCACGAAAGTCCATAGACACAACCTGCAAGATAGAAGTAAACATTTTTTCATTAACAACCCTAGTACATGTAGTTGGCCATCAGCCTGAAAAATGAACTTAGATGGCATTTTTGTTCAAAGCTGGCAACCATGCTAGAAAGTATCACTCCTTAAAAGTTTCAGAAACGCCCGTTTGCCAAAATGGCACTTGGCCTTGAAGGTAAAAAATTTAGGTCAAAAGTTAAAATGAGGTCAAATTTTGGGGGTCTCCAACATGGTCTATATTTTGAAATAAGGTGAAGTTTGTCTCAAAATTCTGCAAAATAACCAATTACAGAGGTTTGATTGGAAGAAATAATTTTAAAATATAGAAGATTTCAGGAATAGAATTGCAAATTACTTCATAATGCAAGACCCTGCGCAAAACATGTGTAAACACTAGTGTAAACTGCCTTTAATACATATTTTCAAAGGTAACAGTCATGCTAAAATGTATCAGTACAATCTGAAGTATTAGATTCACCCAGTTGCCACAATAAAGGTCAAATACTGGGGTCAATGGTCAAATGAGGTCAATTGTATGTCTTATGTCATTCTACTTTCATTGTATTGAAGCCACGTTTCAATAAAATATAGGGATGTCAAAGAGATATTTCAGTTTTCTCCATTACCAATAATCGTATCGGCTATCCTTATAAGACTATACATTTTACTACTATGTATAATTTCACCACAAGGGATGTATCTAATATGTTAAACATTTCTGACCTAATGAACATAAATTACTCACTGGGTGAAGGGTAAGCCTTTGAGCATGAATGTAATTGCTGAGACAACCACATCTTGACCCAAGTGGAGTACCAATATTTGTAGTTCAATATCAGTGCCAGAACAGACACAATACATATACTGATTTTAAGCAAAGACCGAGTGCATACATACAGTAAAATCAATTTCCTGTATGCATGTACAACACTGTATCAGCATTGCAGTGCCTAATATGTACAGCCAACCAAGTGCTGTGTGTTTTCGCTTATCATTCTTGTGGCACAATTTACTTGCATTTCAGTCTATCATTTTCTTGGCTGCTTTACTCATGTAAACGGGTAGTTTTTTCTTTCAGACCAAGACAATGTCCTTGCCCTCTGTCTTCACCTAATCTCTGTCTTGGGGTATCATCAGCTGCACCAGTGGTAATCAGCACCACCCTGCAGATTGCAAATGCACCACTGGCAAGGAATGAAGAGCTTGGTGAAGACACCACTGTCCCGCAGTTGAGATCCCTCGCTTCAAACGAGATTGCTACAGATGAAATAAAACATGACCTCCTCACAGCTAAAGCCCGAGGGAAAGAGGGCGTCATAAAAATGTGACAGAGAGACTTGTAGAGAAGACTTTTTTGCTCTACGATCAACAGAAATGACAGAAGTCCCGAACATTTGCGTCACAATATGAAACTGATGTAGAAGACGGGAGAAAGTTACCTAGACCATTAAGGCAGATAGACGGTTGATTCAGAGGTTGTTAAATGCATCACAGGGTGGAAGAACAGTGGACCTACATAGAGTTCTGAGCATGAACTATCCGTTGTCCCACTTAGTTTGGCAAATATAAAGAAATAAATGAACACTTCGTCAAAGTCTGCAATGTTGTTGATGCTCACAGTTGATCTAGGAATAGAGAAAGTCAAAGGTATGCCGGAACCACCAGGAGACACATGCATCATTATTAATGGACATGCCTTGATTCACTCCCTTGGGAAACCTCCGAAATGTAAGACACTTGGGGATTACGCGAGATAATTCATCAAACAGTGCAGCGACAAGAATAGGTATCACTTTTGATCAGTATAGACTACTGTCGATCAAGGCTGCTACAAGAAGCAGGAGAGTGGGACAAAGGAGACCAATCGAAAGGTGATAGATCGAGATGATCTTGCCCTACCTCAAGTATGGAAGAGCTTCATCACTCTGGAGGACAACAAAGTGACCTTGCAATGTACCTCAGTCACAAATTGGTAGAAACCAATGACACAAGCAAGGAGCTTGTTGTTGGGGGAAATACCCTAACAGCTACTCAACTATGAGGTCAAGTTCCGATGCTTCAAGCCAATCACGAGGAAGCTCATACAATAGTTGTTCTCCACAGCCTTGAAGCGATTCAGGCTGGATACAAAAGTGTAATAGTGAGGTGCCTTGACACAGATGTCCTTCTCCTACTCTTGCATTTTACACGAACCAAGGACTGCCAAGTGTGGCTGATGAGCAGTACACCTCCATGAAAATGGAGTGTTACCATGTCCACCTCATCAATGAACAGCTGTCATCAACAGCAGTGGAGAACATCTTTGGCTTCCATGCACTATCTAGCTGTGATGCTGTCTCCTCCTTTGCTGGGCATGGCAAAAAGTCATGCTGGAGACTCTTCCTGCAATATCCAGAACTTTTAAATGGAGTTGGAAGAGATAGACCACTTAGTAGTGTGGAGGATTTTGTATGCATGCTGTACAAGGCAAGGGGAAGAAAGCGATTGCAATGTTGCTGCCTACAACTGATGCACTGGATTTGCACTGCATATGAGCAACTTCCAAGCAAAGATCTGGCTACAAGCAGACAAGACAGAGACAGAAGTCCCAAGTCCTGCCGAGACGGGAGGATGGTGCCAGTCAGCAAGCGGGTTAGAAGTTGTCTGGTCCAGGAAACCTCCTGTCCCAAGCAGTTGTTTAGAGTTGGTAACCTGCAGATTCAAGACCAAGTGCCAAACTTCAACTTCCATTTGTTGAAGATTGGGACAGCCCTGTATACCAGCACGTGGATGTGACACTGATGACTGCTTTAACTCAGCTTAGGTCATGTCAGGCCTAAAACTGAGCATTTAAACATTGGTAAATCTAATATTGCTGTCACCTCTGAAAGAAGTACTAGTCATCTACATATATATCAATGATGACGTACAAGTACATTTCTTGAAAAATCATTCATAGAGGAATAATTGACAATTTCTTAAGACTTTCCTGATATTGTTATCAACAAAACTTGTGCTGTTGTTGATTTTGCACAATTTCACAACAAACTTAATCTTGTATGAAAATAGGTGAAAATACAGAAGACTCAAATTTTGACCTCATGTGACCTTTTAACCTCAATAGGCGACCTTCAAGATCAAAGGTCATTCAGACAACTAGGTGAGTCTAATACTTTAGATTGTGGCATACATTATAGAATGACTGTTACCTTGGAAAAAGAGTTGGGCAGTTTATACAAGTGCTTATATGTTTTGCATGGGATCACGCATGAACCACTTCCTGACGGTGTTTGAGCACCTACATGTAGGCTTTATACATGAAGTCGGGGAGCCCAAAACCGGACGAAAGAGGTAACAATTGACCATGCTTGACACAAAAGACCAGACTGCAGGGAATTACCGACATTTTTTCACTCTCAATAGTGGAGATAATCAAGCCTTGTTTTGAAACCCTATACCACGGTTTGGGACATTTAGAGACAATTGTGTGTACAAACCCTGTGTTGTGCAACGGCATCTATGGTTCAATATAGGACAGTTTGTAAAAAATTGAAACCCCAGGCAGGTGTAACCGTAATTCTGCAATAGCACCCTCATAGCTTGATATGGAACAGTCCAAAAACTGCGTTCAATCTGTGTACAAAGTCTATGGGAAAAATTAATTATTAAAAAAAAATAAACTAATTAAGTTATTATTGTGAATTTTTTCTAGGACCATCCTTGGATGTTTGTTGAAAGGTCTGCCAAGTTTGAAGTCGATCAGATTTAGTAAACTGCCAGTCGACTGATGGAAGGAATTGGACTGAAAAAGAAAAAAACGAAATGAAAAAAAAAAAAAAATCAGAAAGCAACACCTGTTTACAGCTAAAAAAAATCATCAGAAAAGCAATCGCTGTTTTGGCAGAGTTGCCGAAACAGCTAAAAAAAAGATTTTAAAAAATCAAAAAATCAGTTGCCGAAACAGCTAAAAAAGAAAGAAAAAAACAATTTTAACGAAAACAAAAGCTGTTTCACCAAAACAGCTAAAAACTAGAGCTTATCTGTCTGTTTGACAACAGAACAGAGGGCTTTGTCTCATTTCAACAACTAAGTCATCATCACATCATGTCATTTTTCGTATATAACGCCTCTCAAGTTATCTGCAAAGTTTCAAGCAGATAAAACATGTAATTCAGGAGATATAAAGCTTTAAAGAGTGCACCTTTAATGTCACGTGACTTGTCTCCTGATGACTTCATTATCACATGAGGTCAAATTTCTTTAAAGCACTTCCTTTTCAAAATATTTGCAAGATTTGAACCCAATCGGACGTGTATTTCAGGAGATATGGGGCCTTAAAGAGTGCATCCTTAACCACTTGCTGCTGGGTGCTTTGAAAAAATGCAGTGGATAATAACAGGTCATTTTCAAAATTTTCAGTTTTCAAAATTCTTCAACAATTCAGCATTTCATTTAACGAACATTTATACCCACAAGAAGTAATCCTTGGGCACTATTCAGGCTGACAGGTGACCTTCATTGATGCCCGAGTATTTTAACCAGGCCTGCACCCTTGTAAAAAGAGCCCAGATTGTGCAGTGTTATGAAACCTTTTGTTCATGAACCTGTGCTGCTGACCTGTTTTCAATACAGGACCAGATTAGCATGCAGAGGTGCTGTGTGGCTCATTGCTGGGGTGGTGGAAAGCTTTTGTCCCTGGTGGTAATCCATTAACTCTAAATGCCCCAAATCCTGGTATACTGATTCAAAACAACACTGGATTTTCTCCATTATTGAGAGTGAAAAAATGTCTGTAATGCCCGGCAGCTCAGTCTTTCGTGCCGAGCATGGTCTTTTGTTTATACATGGCCCAACTCTTTTGTCCAGAAACCGGCTCCCCTTCTTCATGTATTAAGCCCTGCTCCTCGAAAACAGGTCGCAAGTCAGGAAGTGGTTAGTGTCACATGACTTGTCTCCTGATGACGATATCACCACATGAGGTCAATGTACCTCTAAAGCACTCCGTTTTCAAGATATCTG